GATAAGCAAAGTGCTAATTTGCAGAAATGTGAAATTATGCAAAAGAGCATTCATGGCGGGATAAGGCTAGCATGAAAACGAATACTGTTCAGGTAAGCAAAAGATCTCACAGAAACCAAACCAAAGCACAGCATTATCACTTTAGATGTAGATTTTTTTTAGGAGTTGGAGGAAGTGCTCTTAACAAAAAGCTGAGGAAATTAAATTCCTCTAGACAAATCTTTATGTAAAAAAGCAAAATTTGAGCACTCAAATTTCAAGGAACTTCAGGTAAAAAAAAATACCCTGCTTAATTTTAAAATTTTATTCGACGTGACAAAAATCAATAAATGAGTTGCATTAAAACACGAGGCCAACATTCTTTTAAAGCTTCAGTAAGCTGCTCAGGCACCTTTCCCCTCATACATTCTACTTTCATACTCTAGAAATCCTAAATTGGGCACTATCAGTTTCTGTTTTTAGGTAACATTCTCAAGGAATAGACTCATCCCAGTAAAAATTATTTATGTACTTACAATTGGTTAAGTACACATTTATAAAGTATACCAAATCGCAATATAAAATCAGGTTTGACAATTCTGAGTATCTTCATTTGAGGAATCAATTCATAATTTAGAAACTATTAACTCACTCAGAGTTTTTTAAAGGACTCAATTACTGGAGACACTGTGGTTTATGTCCAGTGACCTCACACGAAGCCTTCTGCACAACCCAAAATATGAAGTTGTTTTCTTCTACAACTTAATGCTGCTGGGTGCTAGTTTATAATACTAAAACTCAATCTTCAGGTTAGCGTCAGTAGACGGCAAGGACCACCTATTCTGTTGCTCCAGCAGAAAGAGGGCATGTATCACCACTGTGGACACACATCTGTAAACTTGCACACTAATTTTAATCTTAACAAGGAATTTCAGTGTCTTAGTGGTTTTAAGTTAAAAGGATGGTTCAAGCATTGTGTCCTTTTGTTCTTTAGGGTTACAAATAGCTTATTGGAAAACCCAGAGCCTTCTGGATCTGTGAGGTAGTAGGCTTCAATCCTCATCATGCATAGATCACACTTCTCCAAAGTTGGTATGGCCTGTCTCCTTGGCATGGTCCCTTGCTTCTGCTTGTCCAGTTAATCCCTTCTGACATACCATGCATCTCAGGGTGAAGCGGTTTACATCAGTAAATTGTCTCTTTCTTCTAGCTTCATCTGCTAATTCCAGTGCTTGTACAAGAACAATATCATCATTAGAGGAGAAAATGGTCAGAGGTGGGGTGTCTGGGTCAGGGAAGTTACGCTGAAGTGGATCATAGTGGATGCCATCATAAATAAGCAGGACCCTTTTGGTATATCCTGCATCTTCCCCAAAACGATCAATTCTTACTGTCTGTGTATCCACTACACATATTTCGCATTGATAAAATTTGGACAAAATTGATATCTCAATAGCTCCTCCCCAAGTATCATCCCTTTTGATCCAGTCACAGTACTCTTGATTTGTTTTTCCCAGGATTGCCTCGTTATAGAAGTCTGGGTCACTTGCTACAATTTCTGCTATGAGGCATCTCATCTCAGGGGCACAAGCTGGATTCAAGACTCCTCCTTCAACAACATAGTACACACTGGTAAAGAGGCAAGAGTTGTCTGCTGGGACCGCGGTTCTGGTAAGCACAGGCAAAGTTTCCCTGACGTAACTAGGAGCACCATGTTTTGTGAATGCAGGTGAAGTTTTGGGCCTGGTTTGGTCTTCTTCAACGATCAGCATGTCGCCTGTTAAAAATAAAACAAATCCAGAACTGCACACAAATTATAGGTGAAATTGAGTGTTCACTAGCCAAGTCTGTAAATTACAAACAGAAGGAGTTAAAGTATAAGCTGGGGTTACTTGGGAGAACACAGCTTTGCAAACAAGCAACCAGTAACACTTCTTGTTCAATGAATCTTCATAAAGATGAAAACAGAACAAAGAACAAAACATTTTAGGTTGCATCCCAATTTAGTGAAGCGGCCTGGATTATACACCTTTATACTTACTTAAAAAGATACATTCCAAGAACAAAATTTCCTTATGCTTGCTCTCTTCATGTTAAAAGCACAAATCTTCCAGAAGGTGTTTATCATAGGCTAGGCCACTAGAGGGTTCTCCTCCTTCTGAAATTTAACATATGCACCCTGTTTAGTTTTTACAGGATCTTTGAACAACAGCGGAAACCTTTTAATTATCAATATTGCTGTTCAAATTTTAATACTGGACAGAAATAACTGCTGTTGTTCAGAACTTCAAAGTGCCTTTAGTGGATGTGTAAAAGCAAACTCTAAAATAAGTATACTTAACTGTCAAAGTAAATATATATGAAGGTGATTGCAAAAACAAGCCAGGAAAGCAAAAAAGAAAAGTATATCCTGCATCCTTCAGACCTGCTATCATCTTTCAGTGATACAGGGGAAAAGAACCATCAGGACAGAGAAAACAGGTCCCACTTTTTTACACTTTTTTGGACGCAGAGGGAAAATAAAATGAATGAGACGTTCTCAAGGTGGACCAGAAAGCAGACGGAGGAAGGGCGGACTCCAAGGCTTCTCACATAGGTTGGGCCCTCCCTGTCTCTTTCAACCATGTGTAAAGTCAAGGAGCTGCTAGACACTTGCCCCAGCCTCCGTTAAGAGTTCTCTGTTCTTTATCCTTATCCTTGTCCTCAAAGCCTCCAGCCGACCCACAGCCAGCTTACCTTGACTGGTTCTCTGTTCTCCCTCACGCCCCTCTCCGTCCTCCCAGTCCTTTCCCTGGCCTCAGCCTCGATTCCCTTACCTGACTGGATGGGCAAATCCCCCAGAACGGTATCCCCGTTGCTAAGATCCAGGCACTCGGGCGGGTATCCGACGAGGATTCGCTGACAGCCGGGGGCGATCCCGGTGATGGTGGCAATTTGGCCCTGGAGTTCTCGCACCCGGGTCCGGCTGGACAACCCCTGCAAAACATGGGTGCCATCCTTGGCCTTGCAGCGGAGCCGCCACATCGTATCGGTCCGGCCTCCCATGGGCCAGACACCCGTGGAGCCACCTTTGGTCCCAGCAGCAGGTTGGCAGACGCCGCCGGGGCAACCAGCCGCCGGCTGGACTCCAAAATGGCCACCCTTTGCCGGGCCAAACATCGCGAGAAGTCGCTGGTGGTCACAGTTCTCGCGATACTTTGGTGCAGCTTCTCCCTTAGCCCTTTAAGAGTGAACTCTCTTAAAGTGACAAGTTTTCGCCCCCACCCTTCAGGAGCCAAAGAATGAAGATTTATCCGTGTTCCTAAAGTACGACTGGTCTTGCTACCTATAGAGCGAGTGAGGTGCCCTCCGCGTCGGCAGCATATATGCTTAAGGGAAGAGGGCGGGGAAAGGAGTTCCTGAATCGAGTACATTGGAATGTAACCTTGCACTTAGTGAGGTCAGAAATCATTAAGTTGGGGCTTCCAAACTACACCGGGAGAAACAGAATCATAGTTCAGAACCTAAACGAATGCCAAGAATGGTCAGTGAGTCAAAGGACCTGTCAAAAACAATCAGGTACTCGTGACTAGACTCATGGCTGCAGCAAACATTGACTCATTGAGATTAAAGGGGCTGGCCGACTGGCCTTTCCTCCGTGAGACTGCAACCTGACAATGTCCATTTGCCACATCAGAAAGCACAGTATGAGGTCAGCATTTGGGCCCAGGGCAGTTGCTACATTCAGGTGGTGGCAGTATATGGGGGAGGAATGAAGAGGACTAACCTGTGTCATCCAGATTCCAGTTCCCGCCCTGGGTATACAAATATGAAGACGATTCCATTCCTGCCTTCAGAATAACAAGTACTCACTGTAATAGAGAGAGAGGGTGGGGTGTAAAGGACGCATAGCCACTGAATTTCACAGCCACGTGGTAATGCTAGATTATGTGACCTTTTTCAACCCTGTATCTCTAGAACTAAGGACTGTGCCTCGCAGATAAGTGCTCAATAAATACTTGCTGAATGGATAAAGACAGAGTTGTACAGGCACAGAGAGGGCGCCTATAACATACTAGGAGTTGTAAAAAGCTCCAAAGAGGAGATACTATTTGAGTTGTTTTGAAGGATGAATTTAATCCCGGGTGAAGGAGGAATAAAGACATCTCTGAATTACTCTCTCTTCCAAGAAGCCAATACTCATCGTTCTTTTTCATCGTGGATTCAGAACAGCAAGTCCTACCCTGTGTAGAGTGGCTTTATCCACAGAATCAAGCATCAAACGGTCCTGGGTGCAACTGTGAAAAGTTCACTTGAAAATGCAAACTCACCTTAACTTCTGAATAAGTTATATGGAATCTGTACATCTTTTCCCACCTTTCATGACCCAATTTTCTGCTGGAGCAATTTTCTCTTTGGTTCTTCAAGTTGACCATAACAGATGGTATAGCGTGGGAGGTAGGAGGGAGAATAAAGAAGGTGATTAGACGTCCGCTGGAGGATTTGGATGGGTCCAGGGGAGCTCCTGGTTCAGCGATGAGAGTAGTGATTTTCTTAGTTACAATGTCTGACCTATGGGAAGGATATGCAAACACCCTAAAGGTGTCATCAGCTCCAGTGCTGTGGTAGCTTACTCTAGCAAAGCACCTTCTAAAGCTTACGTTCCAATTTATAGATCTAACGAGATCCCGCTGGGATTCAGGGAAGAAAGCGTTAATCTCTGCAAGGTTTTCCTGTCACCAGTCATACCCTCTGAAGAAGTCTGCTTAGTCCACTCTCGCGAGAGTATGGAAAAAACGCAATGCTTTTTATTAATCCCGCCCCCAGCCCTATTCGTTGCCAAGCAACGACGCAACCAACCTCGACAGCGCTGGGGAACTTGGGAGCCTCTAATCTTTTCCCTTCACAGTTCCATGCTCCTTATGGAGCTGGCGTCAGCGAGTCTGACTTGAGCCCCGCCCCCTGGTGCCTGCGGGCGCTCGATTGGTCGAAGATTCTCTCCAGGTGAGGACCAAGGCGAGAGTGGGCGGAGCCAGGCAGGGGCACGTGATTTGCCGGTGACTGGAGTACCCGGTCCCTGGCCACTGTCAGCTCTGGTCTGCCGCGTGCCGGGGGGGAAGTGCCGGGGCCACTGCCGGGAGGGATCTTAGGAGGGATCATAGGGTGAGCGACAGCTGTACAGCGCCTGGGAGGGCACGGGCGGGCGGGAGGAGGGGGCTGCGTGCACCCGGATGAGGTGCGGGACGAGGATCCCTCTGTGTTCCGGGGACGTGCCTGCCCCCGGGCATTGTCGGGAATGCGGACGTTCAGGGGCTGGGAGCTGCCGCTGGTGTTTGGGTGGGAGGATTTGTGTGGTCAGTGGAAGGACAGTGCAAGGTCCTTGAAGCAATAGGACCTTTCGTCCTCACAAGTCCCTTGTCTGGGTTTGGGAAGTGAGCTCGGTGCTCTCCTACCCTAGTTCGAGTCAGGACTTACCCCTTATTCTGCAGGTGACCTTGGGGAAGTCCTTTAACACCTGTTTGTGCCCCAGGGATAGATGGGGAGAAGGTGCACAGCAGGGGCTGGAGAATAACACCAGAGGAGAAATGGTGACGTGCTAGGGCCGTCTCAGGGTCCAGTTACAGTTTTTCCCTCAGGGAACATCTTTGAGGTTTCCCTATTTCTCTCATTTTGTTCAGGACTGAATCCTACCATTGGACTGCAATTACTTTACGATAATGAACTTGATCTATTCGAAACTCACCCACCCCCAACTGCCACTACTCTCCCCACATTCTTAAACTAGAATCTGAGGTCAGGAAGGAACTTGGATAAGCCACTTACTTTGATTAACCTCAGTTTTTCAATCTGTAAAATGGGGAGAAATAATAATGGTAGCAAAATCTGCCTTATTACGGGATTATTGGAAGGATTGAAGGAGATAATTTATGTGAGTGTAAACTGTCAGCATTACAAGTGCGAGTTCTAGTGCAACTCTCTTTATAAATGAGGACAGAGGGCTAGGGAGGTTCATGACTTATCCAAGGGCATGTAACTATTAACTGGGAGAAAGGGCTGGACTTGACTCTTGGCCCAGAGTTCTTTCACTTGTACCACACTGATCCTCTCCACTGAATGTTTTGAGGGATGTCTCCTTCCTTCCCTTCCTTACATTCCTTTTGTCTCTTCCAGACATCTCCTGAAGAGCTGCCATGTCTGGGAATTTTACATCTTCCTCAGAACAGAACAACAATAGCTGTGAAACCAAAACCTCAAGTCTTCGAATGTCAGAGAAGAAATGTTGTGAGTTCTGGGAAAGAGGAGAGGCTGGTCTCTCCTAGGATTTTGTCTTTGGAAAATAGATTACAATCCAACTGCTTGCTGCTTGGTGGGAGTGAGAAATAATTCTTTGACATGACAATTTAAAACAAAGTCTACAAGCAGAATTTTCTGTCTGAAACAAGTAGACTCCGTGAAATGTCTGTCCTTGGGGCTGGCTTGCTGGTGTAGCCCAGCATTTTCTTACTGCTTTCTTTAAATGAATCTCTATCTTCTGGGGGTATCTTCACACTTGAATGATGTTGAAAGTTAAGGTAAGCATTGTTGTACACACAAGGAGTAAGGCAGAGTGGCAGGGTGCAGGAGTTGCTTGGAGCTGATACTGTTAACAGTTTCCCTTTGTGTCCTGGGCTAAGTTTGGTGAGGGTGCTGCTTGCTGCAGAAACTGCACATCAGAGCCGGTAGCTCATTTCTGCAGGCCTCGGGGGAATCCGCCATGACATTTGACTCCTCACTGTGTCTGGGGCACCTTACTTTCTCACAGGTTTAGCCTTTGCACTTTATAAACTATTTTCCCTGCAAGTTCATTCCTCTGGGGACAGGTTTCTCAGGAGCATTTTCATGCCAATCTTTTAGAGAGAGACAGCAGGTGGGTTTGCAGAGAGATGAAGTGTCATTCCCTGTCCGCATGATTCTGCATGCCTAAGCATCATTAAGGCTGCAAGCCTGCATAGCCCACTCCAGAAGGTCCTGGGCAGCTGGTCCCCAAATGTTTCGGGGAACCTCAAGGAATGCTAACCCTTGCCCCTGCTTCCAGATTGCACCTTTCCTTTGGAACCCTGTCAGTCTATTCTTCTCGCTTCAGTGGTTATATATATCAGCAGGTGGAAAAGCAGACCATCATGAGACCTGGGATCATCTCTTGTTCAAAGCTTTGCCTAGAGTCTCGACCTTGATGTTAGGCTCTTGTTAGTCTCATGATTAGTGGTGATAATCTCTTTCACCAGCACCCTTGAGGCTTGCTGGGGTTTGGGCTTTGCAGAGTCAGCTTGTTTGGATGTGATCCTGGGGTTGGTGCACCTCTGTGATTAGGGTCTCCTTTCTCTGCCAGGGCAGGAGCCAGGTACCAAGGGCAAATACCCTGTGGGAGATAACTAGTATAGTATGATGTTTGAGTGCAGTCTCTGCAGTCAGACTGCCTGGTTTGGATCCTGGTTTTACTACTTCCTAGCTGGGTGCCCTTGAACAAGTTGCTCCTCTCCATGCCTCAGTTTACTCCTTTATAAAATGGGGACGCTAATGGTATCTCCCCCCAGAGGGATGTGAGAATTAAACGAGTAAATATAGGAAGGCACTTAGAAGAGTGTTGGACACACAGCTAAGGTGTGTTATTTTCCACTAGTGACTCTATTTGCATGTTGTATTTATTCCTGAAACATTATATATAGATTGAATTATGCTCTAAACGTTGTGCTGGGAGCACATTATTTAAGTGCCCTGTGAAGAATTATATTTTCAGTAAAGAATGTTTTTTCCTCTTGTTTAACAGTATTGTAACTCAGATTTTGGGGTATGGGATGCACATCTTAAAGAGAGGTGCACTCGTGTTACTAGGACATTTGATCCAAAAGAGAGCAGAGAGCTGTGGGAGAGGGGAGTTGATAATTGTGGGAATCTCCGACTCTGCACAATGCCCTGTGTCTGTCCTCCTAGCTCTGCTTTATTCTCCATAGGAATCTCCTATCTGCCTTCTTACCTCTTCTGTGGTTTTTCTGTCTTGAGGGCTTTTGATTAGTCATGAAAGTGGTAATCTCAGGTCTCTTTCCTGTGCTCTAGGCTAATTCCTGCTCCGGGCTCTGATTTCTCCTTTCCAAGCTCCACTCTCTTCTCCCCAACTGGAATCTGAGTTGTCCTAAAGCCACTGTCATGCATTTACCCCATTCTCTTCTCTCATGGGTTGGACTATGAGACTGTTGTAGCCGTAGTTAAAGGAGAAACAGTTATGAGAATATGTGTTGGTTTATTTCCTTTTTCTGTTATTTGCCTGTATCTTGGAACAGGCTTCCCTGGCTGCCTAGTGTTCACCCCCAGACGTTGCTTTATGAATAGCTCCACCGGTATCCCCTTGCTGCTGATTACACTTGTGCTGCCCGCCTTCGACTCTGCGAAGTGGCTGAGCTGGAGACTTTAGGGTGACTTTAGGGAGACTAAAGGGTGACTTTAGGGAGCCAAAACCTCCAAAGGAGCATTACTGGAACTTCAGCTGCTCCAGGGGTGTGGGTGAAGGGGAGGTGCTGGCTGAGGTGCCTTTAATGTGGCCAGATTATGGTTTCAGGGCTCTGTTAAAGCAGGAATTGGCAGTGAGAGAAGCCCTACTTGGTTTTTTTCTTTGTTTCTTTTATTCTTTGATATTTTGAGTAGGTCTGGAACAGGCAAGTTCCCATGTGTACCTTGCCCTAATTACAAAAGCAATATGTGTTCATGAAAAATTCAAACAATACAGAAAGTGAAAAGTAAAAAACTCTCACGATTCTCCTGCCCCTGTTAAGTTTGATTCTTCCCGACATCTTATTCTGGTGTATCCTAGTAATGGAATGGGTTCACACTGTACATGCTCTGTTCTGCTGCCCTTTTGCTTTTATTTTTTAACTTACTGTATCGTGGACATTTTTTCACGTCAGTAAATCCACATTTACCTCTTTCTGCATGGTATTGCACTGTATGGATATGCTGCCTTCCACTGATGGACATTCATGTTGTTTCCAGTTTTCCACCATCACAAACAGCGCTGCAGTGAGCATCCTTGCACAGACACTTTGCATGTGTGTACTAGCAGCCTTTCCTACAGAAATAATAGGAGAAGAGAGACACACATTTGAAATGTTAATGGGCATTACTAATTTGCTCTCCTAAAAAGTTGTATATTAGCTGTTTTTAATATTTCAAAGTGCTTGATGGAAATTGGGCGTTACCAACTATAGCTGCACTGGTTAACTAAAACATTAACTTTCTTAGTATTTGGCAGCAGAATTTGGATATTTCATGCCTATCAGTCAAACAGCAGGAGATAATGGGCAGTTTTATGACTTCTGGTGAATTAAAAGAAGATACTACTAATGAAACACACTTTAATGGGCAGCATAGTTCAGAAATATTGGGCCTATTTAAAAGAAATAGTGGGAGAAGACCTTGGCCATGAAAAGGCCGGGAATCGTGCGCCTTCTAGACCACCCTTTGGGACGAGATCCGAGAGCATAGTCATGCTTACCACCTGGCTCTCTCCGTCAGGTGCTGGTGAGAACTGGTGGCTGGGACTGAGTGGGCTGTCGTGAAACCAGGAGTCTGGTCAGAGCTCTGACCTTGACTTTCTACTGTGGGATGTGGGCCAGGCTCTTCACTTCTCTGGGCCTGAGTTTTTCTCTCTGTAGGAGGGAAGTTATCAAGTCCTCATTTCCCCTCAGTGTGTTCATGAAGGGAGAATAAGTTTAAGATTGAGAAAGTGAGTTAAACTTTGTGTAAAGAAGGCAGAAGAGAATTTCAGGATTACAACAGCTTTCCATTATGTGTCAAGGGATATGTTACACTGTTAATGAAGCTAGTCAGCATGAAGTATCTACTATTCAAATTAAGGTGCTGGTGGTGGTGGTGGTTGTGGTCTTGGTGGTAGTGGTTTTTTTGTTGTTTTTTGGGGTTTTTTTTTCTGAGGATGATTCGCCCTGAGCTAACATCTGTGCCAATCCCCCTCTATTTTTTTTTCTTTTTTTTTTTTTTTGGCGAGGAAGATTGGCCCTGCGCTAACATCTGTTGCAATCTTCCTCTTTTTACTTGAGGAAGATTGTCCCTAAGCTAACATCTGTGCCAGTCTGCCTCTATTTTGTATGTGGGATGCCGCCACAGCATGACTTGATGAACAGTGTGTAGATCCACACCTGGGATCCAAACCTGTGAAACATGGGCTGCTGAAGTGAAGCACGTGAGCTTAATCACTATGCCCCCAGACCGGCCCCCTCCTCTATTTTTTTGTATGTGGACACCTCCACAGCATGGCTAGTGAGTGGAGTAGGTCTGTGCCTGGGATCTGAACCTGTGAACCCAGGCCGCTGAAGCGGAGCACGTGGAACCTTAACCATTTGGCCACAGGGCCAGGCCCATGGTTTTGTTTTTTAACAGGCAGGACAGAATGTTCCTAGTTTTGCTGATGTGTCAATTTAAGATAGCAAGTGTGGTTTAGTTTTGTACTCTGGAAAATGAGAATCCCTGGTTGCTGCAGGTGTGTGGGGGTGTGGTGCTGGAGGGCACTGTGGGGAGTCCTTAGTGACCTGTGTTTTCTTTTGTTCTTAGTACTCTCTGTCCATCTGGTAAACATGGAGCAGCTGGTTCCCTGGCTGGCTTCAGAGCAGCTCCCAACTGTCAGTTCATTTTCAGCTTCAGGGAGGGTAACAGGACTTTCGGGGGAAGTGCCTAATGGGCTGGAAGGTGTGGACAAAGCAGGCCTAGAAGTGTAGGTAATGAGCCGAATCATAGGGGATTGAGAATCGCCAAGCCAGAGAAAGTGAGTGAGAAGAGTGCGTCGCCGAGCCAGAGAAAGTAAAAACTCAGGAGGATTTTCCTACTGAAACCGGAGGCAGCTGATCCCAGGCAGAGGAGCTCGGCCTCTTAGGGGTCAGAGATCAGGGATGAACCATCACTGAGGCTGCAGGGTGGCGTTTGCTTGCCTTCGTGCTCCCTATTTGTACAGAGCTGAAAATCACTTATGTTGCTCGTTACCTACCTTGGAGGAACTCCTGCTCAGGTCCGGGAATTTTCTGTGTGTACAGTGCGTAAAGGACTAAAAGCCAAGCCCTCTCACCCTGAGTCTGGACATCCACCCCTCCCTCACCACTGGCCCACTCTTTGGCTTCCGAGTACTTCTTGCCAAACACCCCTCGGAAACTCCTCCTTCCGAGGCCTGTTCTCTACCCAGGCCCTTGTGCCCACTTCTGCATTGAGATCTTTTTATATTCCTTTCTCAAAAGATGAAAATGACTTTCCCATCCAAGTACCTCAATTTTACTGAATTGTTTCTTAGCCTTTCAGGGTCACCTTGCCCCAGGACAGAGAAGCAGCCACAACTTTTAGGGCACCTTCTGGAGAGCAGTGCTGGGAAGTGGAAGGCGGGCGGTTCTTTCCCTTTCCCCTGCTTGTGCAGGGCCTTCCTCATAGGAGCCAGCAGAGCCTGAGCCCCACCGGATGACCTCAGCGTGGGTCTTGGGCCCAGGAAAGTGTCTGGCAGCAGAGCAGTCCCTCTCCCACTGGTCCTCTGTGGCGGGATGGGCAGGAAGGAGCCAGCCCCTGTCAGCAAGCTGATGAGGAATCACGGGCTCTTTTTATGGTGAAAAGCTGCCAAGGAAACATAAGAGCTGGATTCTAGTGCCAGCTCTTCCCATGACTCATCGTGGGTCCTTAGGCAAGTCACCTGACTGACCTCTGAGCTTCTAGTTTGCCCCGCCTGTCCAGTGAGACCTATCTCTGTAAATGAGCATTCCTGAAATAAGTTCCTAAGGAAAGGTGGACCAATGACTGTTCCTCCTTCTAAGTTATCTTGCTTTCATATGGGCCATTGAGGCAGGCTGGCCGTGATGCTGTTGTGGGCTAGCTTTACCGTGCAGCTTCCTGAGATCTAGTCAGAACCTGTGTCAGTAGGCTTTGCCACAGTCTGAATCTCACTATGGTTTAGAAATTCTGGCTTAAGCTCATGTCCTAAGTGCAAAGGCCAAAACAGCTTGAGGCCAGGTTCTTTTTGCAGTGGGCAAGCTGATTCTTGCCTGTGGCTCTGAAGGGGCAGATGGATCCTTAGGATAGAAACTCTGTTGGACCTATTACAGGAGCCAGCTCAATTCTGCACTGGTTGGATCTCCAGGCATAAGACCTTCCTTCACAGCTGTATCATTCTCAAGTTACTAGACGTTCTCACATTAAGGAAGGTGCCATGGTTACTGTCTTTCTAATCCTTACCACTTTTCCTCCTCTTTCCACCTTGGGTACCTCTCTGAAGACGTGTGGGGAAGACATGTCTTGGTTTGGGTACTTTCTGGAAGTCTACATGACCCGTTAACTCTCTTTAGGAAGATTCACCCTGTATCTCCTCAGTTTGCCTCCCCAGTCTTCCTGAACCCTTTCCTCACTGAGGTGTACGAGATTACAACTATGAGGTTCCTAGGACAGTGAATAAACCTTATTCGGCCCCTAGTCATTTAGTTCTGCTCTGTCTCTTCTTCCTCTAGCGTGGGCATCTTACATGACCAACTCTCCAACTCTCATCGTTATGATTGGCTTGCCAGCCCGGGGCAAAACCTATGTGTCCAAGAAACTCACACGTTACCTCAACTGGATTGGGGTACCCACCAAAGGTAGGTGCAGGCCATTCATTCCTTGGGAAGGGAAATGATCAGTTCCTGGGTCTCACAGGCTTCTGAGAGACTTATTCTCCCTGGCATCAAGGTTAAGGGTGCTCCTGGCAGAAATAGTGGTTGCTTCTTGATTTACTGGATTTATTCCCTGTTCACAGATTTGTTTCCTCCTGGCCTGGGTGGATTGGCCTAGTTTTGAGGCAACGCCTTTGATAGCATAGGGCTTTACATTTTTAAAGCCCTTACATAGCCATCATCTTGTCTAATCCTAGCAGTTTCCCTGTGAAATAGCCAAAGTGGTTGAGGAAATTGAAACTCGGAGAGCTTAAGACTTGTCTAAGGTCTAGTAAGTCTGAACTCAAACCTAACTTGACTCCTAAACTGTTGTTGTTCCCAACATACCATGGTGTTTTTCCCATCCCCTTGGCCACTGTGACATTAGACCAAGAAGTCCCCTTTGGTGGGGCCATTGTAATGTTTCATTGCTGAAGGGTATTGGTGTCTTCTGCAGTGTTTAACCTTGGGGTGTATCGGCGCAAAGCAGTCAAGTCCTATAAGTCCTACGACTTCTTCCGGCACGACAATGAGGAGGCCATGAAGATCCGCAAGTGAGTCTTCTCAGGCCTGACCTCCGGGCCAGCTCTTTCTTGGCCATCACAAGACTGGATGTGATAGGGCTTGGTTTTTCTTTCAATAAGTATCCTGTGGGGATTTTAAGTGGAAGTTATTTGCTAGACTGGTCACTGTGGGCTTGAGTTGGTAGAAGAATAGGGCTTAGGAAGATGCATGTATGCTTGTAGGCTCAGCCTACTGAGGGATAAGATATATGCGTGGGGTGGGGGAAGGGGAAAGATATACGATGGTATGAAAACCTCAGTGGGGGTGGTTGAAAAGTCTAGTTAGGGAAAAATTTTGACCAGTGGGAAACCTAAGTGAGAAGGGACGTGACTGCTATAGCAACCCAGCTATTCTTGTCTCTGGCTACGCTGAGCTCGGTCTCGCTCCACTCTGCTGATCTCCTCTGCTCTCATGGCAGACAGTGTGCTCTGGTGGCCCTGGAAGATGTTAAGGCGTATCTCACCGAGGAGAGTGGGCAGATTGCGGTAAGCCTTACCTGCCTCTTCCCTCTCTTGATCTCTACCCTTTCAGCAGCTGGCTGCACAGCCCCACCTTGGGTTCACCTCGGTGGGATTACATTTCTCGGTCCCCACTCATCTACCCTGTGGGTTCTCTTCCCAGGTGTTTGATGCCACCAATACCACTAGGGAGAGGAGGGACATGATTTTGAACTTTGCCAAGGAGAATTCTTTCAAGGTAGGATCTGACTCCATGCTGGAAGAGAAGGGATGAGTGGAGGTAGGGAGTTAGCAGGGACATGTGGATCTGTTTGACCGTGGTAGGTGAGGATAGGATTGTATATCTGATTCTCTTCTCTTGGGGCAAACCCCCAATCCTTGAGTGCTTTCTTTCAGGTCCTTTCTGAGACCCTTAGCCTCTATGTCTGAGGTCCTGGGGACGTGGTAAGAGCTATTTTTAAATGAAGAGGGCTTGAAGGCCACTTGCGTGAAAGAAAGTCCTGGGGGATGGTGGCTGGGGTGGGGCAGGTTTGAGCATGTGCTCTTAATTAACGGCCTGGCCATTTTTGACTCATTTATCACTGCCCTCTCTCCCTGGCCAGGTATTCTTTGTGGAATCTGTCTGTGATGATCCCGACGTCATCGCTGCCAACATCCTGGTGGGTGACACCCCTATGTACCACCACCTCTTTATCCTTTGCCTTGTGTGTATATGTGGGTGGTGGAGGGAGGAGAGTCAACTGGGTAATGAAAGAAAGAAACAGACTTGTTTAATGTCACAGAGTGAGCTTTTGATCTGCCAGAGCACCATTTTGTACTTCTACACTCTTCCTTTGGGAGAGGAAACGGAGGCTTTAAGGAATGAAGTAAGAATTAGCTGTTGAATGGAGGCCAAGACTTAGACTGTAGGAGTCCTGGCCCTGGGTGTTAGCTGGGTGCTGAGGCCTAGGTATGTACTTAGAGCAGATCAGACTCTTCGTTATCTGTTAGGGCCGCCTTATAGGAAGGTCATCTGTCCACTGATGGTCTAACATTCAGGTCAGCACTCTATGCACTGAACACCTCATACCCTGTGTGGTCACAGCATAGGCCAGCATAAGCCCTCTTGACGGGTTGTGCTGTGCTGTGCCGAGCAGACGTCCGTGCGTGGTATCGTGGTAGTGCTCTCTCAGCAACGTAGGAACTTGGGATTGTCTAAGGAAGAGGCATCTGGTCCAAGTCAGGCATGCCTCAGATTAAGCACTCTATTCTGAGTGGTCATGGGGAGAAATGGAAGCCCCTTCTGTTTTCCCAGGAAGCTACGTAAAGGGATTGGGGCTCAGGAGCAGCTTCAGCTGCGTGACTGCTGCTGCCCTTCAGCCAAGGGCAGGCACATGACTCCCCAGTTGTCTTTCCCTTCTTGGTTGCCAGGGTCACAGGACGGGGAGGGGTTGCTTGATGAATGGGGATTGCCAGTGCTCCAGTGAAAGGCCACTTTCATGGACTTCCTTTTCTTTATTTAGCAGTGGCTATTTGCAGGAGGGCTGTCAAGGGCAGACGTCTAACTAGGCCCTGCTCTTCCTATGATTCCAGGAGGTAAAGGTGTCGAGCCCTGACTACCCTGAAAGGAACAGGGAGAATGTGATGGAGGACTTCCTAAAGAGAATTGAGTGCTACAAAGTTACCTATCAACCCCTTGATCCGGACAACTATGACAAGTAAGATTTAAGGCCATGGTTTGAAGGGCCTGAGGCAGGAGGCTCATCTGAGAAAGAGCCTTTCTCCCTCTGTCCTTAAACTTACTTCTGACAATCCAGACCTATAATGTTTACTCATTCCAGAGAAACAAGGTGAGGATTTGTGGCTTCTATGTGAACTGAATCCTTTACTTGAACACTGAAGTGTTTTTTATCATCAATTCTTCCTCTCTATCCTCTAGAGCAAGACTTCTCAACCTCAGCATTATTGACATTTTGAACTGGATAATTCTTTGCTGTGGGGGACCATCTTGTGCATTGTAAGATGTTTAGCAGCATCCCTGGCCTCTGCCCACTAGATACCAGTAACACTCCCAAGATGTGACAACCAGAAATGTTTCCAGACATTGCCAAATGCTCCCTGGAGAGCAAAATCACCCCCAGCTGAGAGCCACTCCTCCAGATCAACAGTTTTGAACTAGGGTGTTGTAGGACACTCCGCAGAGATGTGTCATCAGTTTTTGATAAATTTTTAAAGTTTAGTGTGTATGTGTGTATATATGTAATATATATGTTAATACATATGTGTATATATACACATTATATAGATTACATTATGTATACACGTATGTAATATACACATTACATATGTATATATGTGTATATACATGCATATGTGATATAATGTATATGTCCTCGGAAACGTGATAGTCTCAGAGAGATGTCTGATCAGTGCTAGCACTGTAGCGGTGTCTGTCAGCAGTGTGATGTAGGATGATGTGTGTGAGCTATAGGAACCATACCAAATGTAGCGTCCCTGTTGAAGAAAGACGTGTGCACGTGGAAACCTGTGAGAATAAGGCCTTTGAAAGGCACGCAGCAGGGGCAGTTAACAGTTCTGTTCAGTTAAGAACACAGCCATGCAGCCAAGTGAATGGCGAGACAGGTGTGCATACCTACTGTTAAATTGCTTCAGTGGTCTGCTTAATGTTTTGAGTCTTTCAGTTCCTTCAAATGTGTTGCCTAGAATGTTAGTATTTGGAGGTGTTCCTTAGTACAGAAGTTGAAAACCACTGCCCTAGATGTGGCATAACAGTGTATTCTTCAGTTAGCCCAAAGTCCTATCTAGAAAAACATTCTAGAAGAATGTGTGTGTGTGTGTTTATAGATGTTATCTCTGGTGGTAGGGTTGTGGGTGATTTTTATTTGCATCATTTTACCTTTTTTTTTCCTGAAATTTTTTTGGAATAAGCACTCAATTTTATAATAAGAAAAATTCCATGATGGCCACGAAGCAAACAGCCTATGGAAGTGCCTTTGAGAGAGGCTTGATTTAGGTGGCTGTACAGAATGCATAAAGATCTCTGTCTGTGGTTCTGCCCCCCTCCCCTCCCTCGCTGCTGGAGGATGCTGTACTCTGGCCAAGTCTTGACCACCTCAGATGGGAGCTGTGCTTCTCACCAAATTTCAGAGTTAGCAAAATCTTCGGGTCGTCTAGTCCAGCCCTGAGGGGAAGCCTGAATTCTGTTTTTCATACTTATCCACATTGCGTGGCACAGTACAGGCTCCGAGGAAAAGGAACTGACTGACTAGAAGGTCAAGAAATTTTACTTCATCTTGGTTGTGAGGAGTAATCCATCCCTTACCATTTGGTTCCTGAAATGTGGGTGGGGGTATGACAGGAGAGGAGGAGGAGCTGCTGTGAGCCTGCAAGTAACTATGGAGATCTTTTCCCCTCCTACTGTTATCCTCAGGTTTTCATACTCAGGGGATTTTTTTTTACCTTCTCTGTTCCAGGGATCTTTCTTTCATCAAGGTGATAAACGTGGGCCAGCGATTTTTAGTGAACAGAGTCCAGGACTACATTCAGAGCAAGATAGTCTACTACCTCATGAACATCCACGTCCAGCCTCGCACCATCTACCTTTGCCGGCACGGAGAGAGCGAGTTCAATCTCTTGGGGAAGATTGGGGGTGACTCTGGCCTCTCGGTGCGGGGAAAACAGGTGAGTAGTTAGCCATCAGGCTGGATTTGTTAGGCTTAGAGTCGAAAGGGCGTGGTGGAGGTCATCTCTTTTATCCCCTTACTTCTTCCTAAATCCCACTGGGGCTTAGGCTGTGGTTTCAGATACTCAAAGCAAGTACTACAGATGTTTTCTTGCTCGCTGATTCTAGCTTTGTATTGAGTGTGGATAACTTGGAACCATTTCTGCTGTGATCCTTCAGCCATCAAATGTCTATTGGGCATGACTTGTGTGCTTAGCACAGTAAGGGGGCTCCAGCTGAAGTTCATTTCCTCTTGGGTTTATCATAACAAGGTAGCACCTTTCAGATTTTGACTATGGTCATACACATTGTCCTTTATAGGGAAAATTAGCAGCTGTATGTGTATATGTGTGTGTGTGTTTCTCTCCTTTTAAAATTTTTACTTCAAACCCCAGTTTGCTCAGGCTCTAAGGAAGTTTCTGGAGGAACAGGAGATAGCAGACCTCAAAGTATGGACGAGCCAGTTAAAGAGGACTATCCAGACCGCTGAATCCCTGGGGGTGACCTATGAGCAGTGGAAGATTCTGAATGAGATTGACGCTGTGAGTAGGCAGCTCCGATGGCTAAAAAGCCAGTAAGAGTCTCCTATTCAGGCAGAAACTCAGAAGTCATGACGTGGGCAGTTTTATTTAGAAAATTGGAACCACCAAGGAGAAACATTGAGGAAGCTGAATCTATGGCCAGTTTGGGGAGGAAGTGGGAACAATTGCACCCCTAGTTGAGGCTTCCTGCCTGCTTGAGCACCTGGGCAATGATGGGACCCAAACCAGTCTCTGGCCTAGCCTCCCTGGCACCTGGGAGAGTGAAACTCCATTTGGTTTCTCTGTATATTTTCCTCTCGGGAAAAAGAAATAGCTAAGGACTCACTTCTTTAATTTCTGCTTAGATCATTTGGTCAGCTATTCTGGAAAAGTCCTTTCTGTATTTTTTCTTGGCTTTCTCTGTCCTTGAGCACAAAAGTAGGCATTTGTTTTTCTTTCCTTCCTCTGTACCCTTTCATGCCTTCTGCAGAAATTTTCCAATCCGCGTCAGTTTCCCCTCCTTCCCTGCTGCCTGTCCCTTTGAGCCTGCTGACTTCTCTTGACCTGTGTTATTCCCAGCAGTAGTAGGAGAAAGCGGCAGCTTAAGCTGGAGCACCTACCAGTCCCAGAAACCCTGGCCAGTCAGTTGCAGTGCAAGAGAGGACCACGCACAGTGCCTGGCGCTTAGAAAGAAGCTAGTGTTCTTCAGTGTCACCCGCTTTATTTGGGTGGGGCTGTGTGGTTCAGTCTGCCTCTTCAAGCCAGTGTGGCTCCTTGCAGGGGGTGTGTGAGGAGATGACCTATGCAGAGATTGAGAAGCAGTACCCAGATGAGTTTGCACTTCGAGATCAAGAGAAATATCTGTATCGATATCCTGGTGGGGAGGTGAGCGTCCTCTCATGTGGGGTGACTGCCCAGCCCTTTGCTGGGGGTTTAACCTTAATTTGGGGGAAGAATTGAGTGTGATTTTGGGGATCTAGAAAGGGTAGTCAAGGCATGAGTTAGTTTATCCTCTGCCTTTGGGCCATACTGTCTTTAATTCAGGTTAGGCAGTGGAATGCCTCATTAATTTGTTAAGATCTCCAGGGAAAGGGGTGACAAGATATCCTCTGTGTTGAGTATATTGTAGAATCAACATGATCTTTTTTACTGCTTTTTTTCATTCCATTCCCTCAATCCCACCCTCACCTGAGCAGGTATAGGCACCAAGTAAATATATGGGATATGAATGATTTACCTTTCATCTTTGGTGTTTTAGACTGTTTCCTGGTCTAAATGGCTTCATGTTTTAGGGATGTATGAGGCAAAGGTAGATAAAACAGCACGGCAGAGGTCTGGGAAACCCCTAGGAGCCTCTTCTTGACTTACACTCTGCCTGTTAATCTGAGGGAAGAAAAAATAACACAGGCTGAATTCAGATTTCCTCACCTTGACCTGTAGTTTTCTCAGTCTGAATGTTGCTCTTGAAAGGTCTGAATATTCTCAAGAGACACCAGGGCTGGGGGGAGTTAGCAGGCGACGTGAAGTCGCTGAGCCTCCAGGAGGAAAGCCAGCTGGGCAAGAAGGAGAATTGGCCTCCTGACTCTGGATGCAGCCCCTGACTTGGCTGCCAGCTTGTACCTGGCCTCCTACCAGCTGCCTCACTTCCCCCACAGTCGTACCAGGACCTGGTGCAGCGGCTGGAGCCCGTCATCATGGAGTTGGAGCGTCAGGGCAACGTCCTCGTCGTCTCCCACCAGGCCGTCATGCGCTGCCTCCTGGCCTACTTCTTGGATAAGGGTGCAGGTGCCATTTGAGGGAAGGGCCAGGGGACGCATCCATGCAGAGGGGCCTGGACTCGGGGTGGCACCAGGATCCGTGGCAACTGGACCTCCCCCTCTTCCACTCACATTGGAGTACATTCCACAGGCAGCAGTGTGGGGCTCCCAGCAGCCACTGGCTATCTCCTTGCTGAAGTTACTCTGCTCGTACAAAAGCCCCCAGTGGAGGGTGGCTGCTGCTGGAGCTCCTTGGTCTTGCTGGGCTAGAGGGCCGCATCGAGCTGACACTCCTGGCAGCATCAGAAAAGTGGTTGAACGTTCCCAGCTTGTTACTTTGGCTACAAAGAGGGTGGTATCTTAGAAGCATCTTCATCCTTTGGATTCAGGGTAGGGCAGTTTCTGGGTAGAGCCATAAGGAAGGCTGCTACCTTCTCTGATACTTTCCTTCCCTTCCTGATCCACCTGAGCTGCTGGGAAGCCTGCAGAATGGCCTTTGGTGTAGCCAGGTGGGCCACAATCTTCCCTTCTGTGGGGCCCTGGCTACAGCACCTACTTGTGTTTTGCCTGCTTGGAAGGATGTAAAATGGACTTATTTTGTTCCTTAGCTACCCCGTAGGTTGGGTGGCTTTTTAGTGGCCATCTTGATAATTGTCTGGGGTTTATGGGAGGAGTTGTACAACTCTAGGTCATGCTAAAAAAAAAAACTCATGAGCTCCTTAGATTTTTCTCTTCCACTAACTTGGCCTTCCTCCATAATACTAAGAGACTTCCCTCACCCGGTCTTTTTGCTTTCAGATGAGCTACCGTACTTGAGGTGCCCTCTCCATACCATCTTCAAACTTACTCCTGTGGCCTACGGTAACTATGAGCTTAGGAGCTGGGCGGGAGGAGGGGATTGAGGAAGGTCAGGATATTTGAATTTTCTCTGAAGTTTGTCTGGAAATTCGACTCCCTCACCCTTGTATACCACGGAAGTTTCATCAATGCCTTCCATTTTTAAAGGGATGTATGTATGTATTTGGGAATACATACTTTCTTTTATGGATGCGTTCACAGTGAAACTAAGGAATTTTTTTGAGCTTTTTTCCTGAAGGCCTCTTTTCTCTCCTCTTTTTTCTCAGGGTGCAAAGTGGAAACAATTAAACTCAATGTGGAGGCTGTGAACACTCACCGTGACAAGCCAACTGTAAGTATTTTGCCACGATGAACACGCAGGTTCCCTGTCACCTTGAGTCTTTGAATCTCTGGCATGAAGAGACTGGGGTTTCTTTTATGTACAAAAGGAAAACAGATCCAAAACTCATGTCCCATGTAGTCTGCTTACTTCCAAAAGGAAGAGATATTGGAATTATTATTTTGTAAAATTAGTACCTCTTTCATGAGTCCTAACCTTGAAAGTTAAATATGGGAAGTGTTTGGCTGAAGTGAGATGCAGATTTTCCCCCAGGAAGCACTCCCTTTAGCAAGCAGGATCCAGAGGAGCCTATAAGGTGGGGTCCAGGGGTGTGGGTTTGTTCCTAGGTCTGTCCTGGTGATCTCTGTGATCTTACATAAGCACCCTCCTTTCTTTGGGCCTGATTCCTGCTTTGAAGTATGATGCTCAAGGAGCTTCTCCCTCTACAACCGTTTAGCTTCCTGGGGCGAGGGGACCAGGCCGTGGCCCATGTCTTATGAGAGACCCCATCTGCCGAGGAGCAGGAGTGGAGGAATCTGTTGTGGTTACAAGCATTATTTAACCTTTATGAGTGAGCTTTGGTTTGGCTTTCATTTGTGTGGTGTCCCTCCGTTTCCAATCAGAACAACTTCCCCAAGAATCAAACCCCTGTAAGGATGAGAAGGAACAGCTTTACGCCTCTGTCCAGTTCGGATACGATAAGGCGTCCAAGAAATTACAGTGTTGGGAGCCGGCCCCTCAAGCCCCTCGGCCCTCTCCGTGCCCTGGACATGCAAGAAGGGGCCGACCAGCCGAAGACCCAAGTCAGCATTCCGGTGGTGTGACCGTGTGTTTCCCTCCAGCCTTAGCCTCCTGCCCTTGTTTCTAATCACCAGGGAATCATTTAACTTCCAACTTCCACCCTTGACCCCCCACCATGGGTCTTAACATAGAACGTGTGGTCATGTGTTTCCAGACCAACCTAAGCTACTCTGCAGTGTGAAACATCTCCCTGCCAGGGGCAAGTGGACAAGTTGGGTGTTTTGGGCCAGGTGCTCAGTTGGAGTGGTCTGGAGGAGGAGGAAAAGGGATGCACTCCCCTGGGGCGATTGGCATAGCTGGGGCTGAGGCTGAGGCATGCCCCATACACTTGGTTCTTGTCTGTCCCCCCGTGTCTAAACTCGCTAATGTCCTTGTGTTGGTAAAGTGGGTGGCGGGGTGGAGGGGCACACAGAAGCCCGTTTTCCCTTCACCTTTGTCTCTTCAAGGTGTGCTTGACTCACAGTCCTTACTTGCCTGCTTTCTTCCCATTCTCTCATCGCCCCTTTGGGTTGTCCAGTGTGGTGCATGGCGTTGTCATTGTGGTGTCTGTCGGAGGGAAGGGGCAGTTGGTGAGAGAGAAGTCTAGGCTCCGTTGATGCTCTCTGCAGTGGGCCTAAATGGATCTGGACCGGGGAAGCCATTCTTTTCCCTTCTCCCTTCCTCTCAAGCCAGGTCCTGCTAGGGTCAGCCCAGGCTACGGAACATTCACAGATGCTCTGGAGCCTGCAAGCATACGTGGGCTGAGAGTTCTTGCCTCCTTTCATGAGAAACAGTCCTAAGTCTTGGATGCCCTGGGGGAAGCTGGCTTTCACTGTGGGGGAAACATCTTGGTTTGTATCCTTCACTTCAGAGCCAGGCATAGGCCTTTTGGCGGCTGTGGAGTGAGGTTTAGGAGAGGAGGGTGGTCTCTAGCTCCTGCAGGGCTCTCGTAGGGTAGTCATGTCTTTTCTCCAGTGGCTCCCAGCTTCTCTGCCAACCACAGCAAGTTTCCTGTCAAAGACTCTGACCTCTGGAGCTGTTTAGAAGGACAGAGTTAGATTCAGGAGTCACCACTGATGTTTGAATTGCTCAAGGCAAAAGGCAAAGAGTTCCCTCGCGATGCTTATTATTTTCCAGTAATTTTCAACACACTCTCCTTTTTAAGTTAAGAAAGTCTTTTTGCATGAGCAGTTTTTTTTCCAAATATGGAAAAGCCTCCCTGGAGTATTCTCTTATCTCATCTTGATGTGCAGAGGAGTCTTTGGGACGCTGTGGGGTCCAGCTCTTCACCGTGTGCATTTACCTATTCACTTCCGTCATTTCATTTTCTCTGTAAGATTCAACAGGAATTGTTGAGAGCAGGGATTCTTAGCCCCTTGGGGGCCCATGATGGCATCTCCTCCCCCCCAAATTTGTATGCAAAACGTATGGATATATGTTTTATCCATATATATGGATATATGTGCATTTTTCTGAGGCAAGTCTAGAGTTCTCATGAGATTTTTAAAAGAGATAGAGGACTCCCCATCTTCAAGTTATCCATTTGTCTGTTAGAGGTAACCAGTGAGAGCAAGTTAGCTGTTTGCCACGGGTGTTTTTGTTTGGTAACAGAAGACCTTTTGCCATCGTTCTCATCTAGGAGTATCTTTAGAATCCCCTTTAGAACTTTTGAAACGTACACATGCCTGGGTCTACTTTAGGCTTAATATTAACTCAGAATCTCTGGGATTGGGGTCTAGACACATGTCTGTTTACATAGCTTCCCTGATGATTCTGATTCTTACTCCAGGTTAGAACTCCGCTTTATGAGGTTGGGTGGAGAAATACTGGGATAGTTCCTTGGACAAAGTGTCAACCTAAGAATTCTGAATTCCTCATGGCTCTGAAACGACAATTGTCTGGAGTTAGACGTTTGAGCAGATCACATTTTAAATAAGGTGTCCCCTTGAAGGCAGGCTGCTGTGTTTTAGAGGGTATTCTAGGCTCTGGTCCCATCTTTAACCTTTATGTTGCAGGGCAGTGTGGAACAAATCACTACATAAATAGTTGTCCTTGAGTAGTAGGGGAGTTTTAAGCACCTTGGAGAGAGGTACTGAGATATAACCTATAGGTGATAAAGGTTATCATCACCGGCAGCTGACTTGTGACCCTGAGTTCTTTATTCCTCCATGCTGAGTGGGACATCACAGCTAGTTTCCAAAGGCTGCTTGCCTAGATTCTGCTCAAAATTGTGCCCAAGATGTAAAGTACCCTGCTGTTTCTGTGTAGCCGTTACGTAATGTGTACTTAGTGTCTTTGTTTGTGGGCTTTGGGCTGGGGGGAGTTGGTGGTGGGGGAAGCATACACAGAAGTAGGAGAAATGTCCCTGCCCTGAAGAAGGTTATTTTAGAGACAAGGCATATAATTTATAATAAATGAATGTTTGAAAGAGCAGCACATCAAGTCTGTAAGTGTGACATTCAAGTGGAGTATAGGTTACCTCTCCTGACTTTTCTTTTGGCCTATGGCTATGAGACTGAAAGAGTTGGGAGGTGGAAATGTCCCCGCCCTTGTGACAATGAGCTATGGTCTAGGAGGTCTGGGTGGCACTTTTACAGGCTTGCCTCCTCTGACTTTGCTTGGCTGGTGGTGTCTTTAGCCCAAATGAGCATTCATCTGGTCTTTTCTCCTACTGTGTAGTGCGAGTAATTCAGAGCTAATGAATGAGAAGAAGGAGCATTTTGAGCCAAAGACTTTGGATTTGGGCTGTACCTACTTTTAGTGAGAGGAGAATTCCCTAACGAACTGGCATTATGTTACTGTTATAAATCCCAGCATTAGACACAGGTCTCTGGGATGTCCATTCTGGCCTTCAGCCTGCTGATTATTTCTCCACTGTCCCCTGTGCTTGTTTGTTTCCCCAGAAGAGGGGCCTGAGGTGTCTTATTATTCTCACACAGGACACAAGAAATTAGAACTTGACAACAGCAAGGGTTTCAGTATCTTTCAGTTTTTAGAGCCAGGGGAATACAGAATAGAACAGAGCTCTTACTGCAAGTTTTAGAGAAGTCCTACTTCCTACCTTTTCTTTCCTGTGCTCCTCTCACCGCCTTCTTATTGACTGGATGTTGGTAGTATATACACAGTGCTGATTATGTCTGTATCACAAATCCTACAAAGAAAGGATGGACTCCAGAGTACCTTGTGCTGAGGCTTTATGTTATGGGAGAAATAGGTGAAGGCTTTAGCATTTAATCTGTTGGTATAAAATGGGCAAAGGAAAATCACTGTGTATTCTATTTTCTTTTTCTTGCTTCAGAGCTGAATGAGGAATTCTGTGACGGACTTGAAAGAGGAATCTAAAGCAGATTTAGAGAACTAGCTTCTCTTCCTGTCTCCTAATCCTCCAACTGGAGTTTAGCTCCTACTTTTTATCTGTGTTGTCTTTGGTTTTGTTTTCGTAAGAGGATTGTTTTACATTCAGTGGAAAGTGGAATAAGAAAATCTTTTTAAAATATGCGTTTTGCTAGGGGTCTGCCCTATATCATTGTCTCTGGTTTCTGTTTGTTGGTTTTTTTATTTTTTCCCCCAAGAAGTTAGAGTTAGGAATACAATATATTTGTATTCCGACTGAACGGTTGAGTGTTTCCTGTGAGGTTCTGAGTGTTCCCTTTTGCAACCCACGTTTGATCTTCAGAGGCCCTGGCATTTTGAAGAAACGTGATAGAGCTCTTTGGAAATAAATCCATCTTAGGATTTTTCTGTGAGCAGGAGATCTGAGCTCCCAAGAAGCTAACTGGTGCTTGGGGTGCCCAAAGGACATGGGAGAAAATGTCTAATAATTGAGAGAACTATATCTGGGTTATATATTCTTATGCACATTCCATTGTCTTTGCTCAGCCCAGAAGCCATTGTTGTGTTTGTTTTCAAGAAATTTGATAAATTTAGCCAGGTTTTTCAGTATACATTTTGACTTGTTTGTGTTTTAAAATATTTTAATTTTAAAAATACGTAACAATTGAGTCAGGCTGCAACATTGGCAGGAGTGATCTCTGACTTCCCATAGAGGTGACACAGACATCAGAAGTATGTCCTAGAATTTAATTTAGACTCATACTGTCTGGAAGACCATATCTAGTAGTATCTATATGCTGACTGACTGATAGACTGGGGTAGGGTCCCTATGCTGGCTGACTGACAGACTGTAGTAGGGTCCCTGTGCTGACTGACTGACAGATTGTAGTAGGGTCTGTGTGCTGGCTGACTGACTGACTGTAGTAGGGGTCCGTGTGCTGGCTGGCTGACTGTAGTAGGGTCCGTGTGCTGACTGTCTGACAGACTGTAGTAGGGTCCCTGTGCTGACTGACTGACAGACTGTAGTAGGGTCCCTGTGTTGACTGACTGACAGACATGTAGTAGGGTCCGTATGCTGACTGACTGACAGACTCTAGTAGCGTCCCTGTGCTGACTGACTGACAGACTGTAGTAGGGTCCCTGTGCTGACTGACTGACAGACTCTGGTAGGGTCCCTGGGCTGAATGACTGACAGACTCTGGTAGGGTCTCTGTTGAATGACTGACAGCCTCTAGTAGGGTCCCTGTGCTGAATGACTGACAGACTCTAGTAGGGTCTCTGTGCTGACTGACTGACAGACTCTAGTAGGGTCTCTGTGCTGACTGACTGACAGACTGTAGTAGGGTCCTGTGCTGACCGACTAACAGACTCTGGTAGGGTCCATAAGCTGACTGACTGACAGACCCTAGTAGGGTCTGTGTGCTGACTGACTGACAGACTGTAGTAGAGTGCCTGTGCTGACTGACTGACAGACTCTAGTAGTGTCCCTGTGCTGACTGACTGACAGACTCTAGTAGGGTCTCTCTGCTGACTGACTGACAGACCCTAGTAGGGTCCGTATGCTGACAATCTGATTGGTTTCTAATTATACCAGTTGGTAGTGTATGCACATTATTGTAATTCTCTGTCTATTGCATGTGTCCTACAAAGAAAGGAAGTAAACACTCTATATGTTTTCTTTAGGGGGATGTTCTGTGCACTATGATTTTTAATAGACATTTCTTTGAGAGTAGCAGCCAAATTCTCATTTTGTAGAAAATGAAGGTTGTACATCACTTGTATGATATTTTGTAAACTCAGCTGAAGAAATGCCTGCTCAAAGCCTGAAATTGTTACCCCCATTGAAGCCATGCCACCGCTCCCCACTTCAGGCAGGACTTGACTTTCACCATCCGTTTCTGAACCTCTGTGTCCTCAGCGTCCCTCTTGTAGAATGTAGCATTCCGTTGGATAATGCTGCTGTTTTTAGTTTGCCATGCATTTGACTCTTACTCATAATCTAATAAATAAAAGTGCAAAGGAAATTTTGCATTCAAAAATTGATTTTAAGAGTTGACAGAAGTATTCTTTCCAGTAAGCCTTTCACTGGGGATCCATGACCACTATTTACCTACTCAATGTTTTTGTATCTGAATTGCTCGTGTACATTTTTTTCTTGTGTTGAAGTAACAAGATCAACTCATTCTGATATGGTGATGGTTTTGCTGTGGCAAAAGCAAAGGACTCATCACCAGCTGTGCCCTTCGGAGGGGTTGGGAGTGGGCTGAGCACCGCTGGGTTGAATGGGAATGGGTTGAATTGGGAACCCAAGCACTAGAGGTATCCTGCAGATTTCCCAGGCACAGCTCTGCTGAAAGAAGAAACTTAAGTGCTTAGCAGCATTCTGGTTTAATCTGGTGACATTGATATCAAAATATGCCACTCAGATCCACATAAGGTGTGTATAACTGTACTTGAAATGTGTTTTTGGTGTGTGTGTAGAATGGGTAAATAAAATTGTTGAGTAACTTGAACCTATCAGAAGGCTTCTGGGTTTTTTGTTTTGTATTTTGGGTTGTGTTCTCCACCCACTCCTCCACCCCCAAAACTTTGCCTCATGAGCCAAAGCCGGTTCACAGTGTAGGCATGGCTCTCTTCCGCCACCTTCTGGGGAAGATGGGAAGGACATGATGGAAGGCACACACACTTCAGTAGGAGTTGTGTGTACTTTTGGTGCCTCTACAAGAATTAAGAAAAAATTACCTTTGACCACACTGTGCTGTGACTCCCATTAGCAACATGTAACTCCTTGTTTATTGTAAAGAAAAACCCTGGAGAGCTCTTAGAATTTAGTGGGCTGTTCCTTCTAAAATATGACCTGCTGTTTCTAAAGAGATTACAGCCAATGGGATAAAACGGCATTTAACTTTTTCTGGGACAGGAAATAGAGGTGGAATTGTGTCACCATTCTCATGGCTCATTCCTTGTTCCCTAACAAGGACCAGGAGCTGTTAGACACGCAGACAGCGGGGCCCCATCCCAGGCCTACTGAATCAGAATCTTCATTTTAACAGGATTACCAGGTGATTCAGATGCACATTTAACGTTTGAGAAACTTCTAGGGGGAAGAATTTCTCACAAGGTAAAATGTGAAATCTCAGTTTATGAGAAGTTGATTTCTGCTCTGATGACTGATTTCAGCATGGACTGGGATAACGGCAGTGGAAGAGACCCTCCTCAGGAGCCAGGGAGTCCTGACCACGGTGTCACTTTCTTGGTGTGGTCTCTGGGCTCGTGTAGCCTACATGCTCCCCTTTTACCGCAGGGTGCCCTCCGGCTTCTGCCTCAGGTGTTGGGTATGTAGCTTATGGTCTAGGTCTGAAAGAAGCGCCTGGTCCAACATGGTCACAAGGTTAGGGAAGGAAACCCGTGACGATGCCGTTAGAGTTGGCCTGACTCCTGAGAGTAAAGAGGTGTGTGCCGGCACAGCACTGTGTCTGTGCATGTGTGAGATGCGGGGGTGTGGACGCTGGGGGAGCAGTGGAAGGGTGGGGGAGGGATTCTGCTCCACTTTCCTTCGTCACTTGTGGTGGTGTAACGGCTTTGTTTCTCTTCCTCTCTGGCTCCTAGGCAAAGGCTGTGCTGGCTGTGCACAGGCACTCCTCTGCAGCGTCCCTCACATTGCTCTCCTGATGATGTGGAGGCGGGGGCCAGACCTCTCCGGGGCACTGGGATCTGCTGATAAGCTTGGGATGTCGGCTCCACGGGGGCTTGAACAGGAAGTTAAGTGAGGATTGGATATTTGGAGCCACCAAAATGAGGCCTGGAAAAACATCACCACATTTCTTCCTCTCATGCCTAGTGGCAATATTAGTTACACTGAAAAATTTAACTTCCCTGTGACTCAAAATGTTTAACAGCCTGAACTGATTAGTTTCTGTTATCCCTTTGCTGGGTTTGGCCCAGGTTGGCCAATCTTGTTCTGTTTCAGCATTTAGCATCCTACCTGTGACTCTGTCCCTGGCTGGCTATACTTTGCCTAAAGTGCAAATGCACCTTGTCGGATTTAATTGTTTCCAAGTGGGAGGGCTGAACTCCAGCAAGCCTTTGCTGTGCTGTGAGAGCTGGTCTCTGCATCCATTACAGGTGAGCAGGCTCGAGTACAGTATACATATGTTAGCAGTCACTTTTTTGTCACATTGGAAACAAGAGACAAATTCACCAGGTGATTGGAGGATACCTGAGAAATTTCAGTCCCTAAAACATCTCTTCTGTGGTAATAGAAGAGCAGTGTCAGTAGCAACCTTTTCGTTTAGAGAAGTTTTTCTTGTTTCAGGCCCCTTGAGGGCAGGATCTGACTACAAGGCTCCCGAAAATGGGTACCTGTCTTCTAAGTTCTCTTTTGTAGCTAGTGTATTTTCTGTCTGATACTGTGTGCCTCTCATAGCTGAAGAGGGCTAATGTTGTTCTCTCCAGTGGTTGGGAACGAGGGCTGGAGGGAAAAGTAGAGTGCCTTTTACATCGCATGAAGAAGTAAAGAAAGTTCCCGGGGGATCAACTCTCCCAGGGAGTTCTTTTGGTTTCAAAACAGGTCCAGGGAGACATGTCCTTCTGTGGGGTCTGTCACGGTGATATGTTCTCTAAGAAAGCTGTGGCTGTGACTTCAAAAGCAGCTGGTCTCTGATGCCTGCCTCTTAGCTAGTTGTCACTGTTCTGGTCTACTGGGCTCTCATGCGAGACATCGGGGAATAGGAGGGAACCAAGCCCTCAATGCGTTAGTCATTTGGTTTCCCTTGGAGATAAGCTGGGTAATTTTTCCCTAGATCAATGATTGTCAGATGTACAAATATGTCTCTGTAGATGTGATTTTAATACGTCACTACTCCTGAAGGAGGATGAGGAAGCTCCAAAGGATATCATATCATACAAGCAAAATCCTTTTTTTTTTTTTTTTTTTAAGGATAGTAAGTTTTTAGCTTTAAAAAAATTTTTGTCCCTTTCGCTCAGATGCCCGCTTGCTGGGCAAGAGGGTAAGTAGCAAGGAAAGTAGTGAAACACAACTTTTCCCAAACGGTTCTTTTATACGGTGCTTGATGCAGGGTTCTGTTACCTAAGATGTGATGAGCTGGGCTGCAGGCAGTGCAGCATCCAGCAACTAGGAGCTGATTTTATACCCACAAAGCTGCCTTCAGAGAGGCTGCTGACTGCTCCGCAGCGGGCGATTTTCACCTGGCTGCTTGTAGCGTGCTGGACTGTAATGATTTTTGTTCTCATGGTGCAGGCTTCTTTCTGCATCTGAATACACTGTCTTTTGATGATCAGAAAATGTTTTTATCTAGTTATTTATTCATCCATGCAAGGTATTTTTAAGTCCTCATGTTAGTGTTTGCATGTATTTAATTAGAATGTAAGGTAATTTGTGTTGTCAGTTTTTTGGTAGGAATTCAGGTAGTTTGAGCTTTTAAGTCTAATGTCCACAGTATCACCTTAAATTAAATTTCCAGAATATAGGTATCTGTCTTCTGTGAAAGGATAATGACTGTGTTAAGGCATAGTAGCTTTCTTTTGAAAACTTTTTCTCATTGATTTTTATTATAAGTATAAATCAAGAGATGCATTTCTCTGAAGAAAAGTTTATCTCCTGGATAAATAAAATCATGCTAATATATGTGAGTAATATGTATTGTTTTTATAATAAGAAATACAATAAAAGTTATTTTTAATTAAAAAATGCTATTAATTTTTAAAATCACACACAAAAGAAGGTGACATTTGGTACATTATACATACACAAAATATTAGTAACATCATCCAAAATGTGTTTGAAACTAGCTTCTTTAAAATGATTCTCAAAGTATTAGATTGTATATATTTCCAACGGGTGGTTTTACTTGCTGACTCCTGCCTTTGTTGAGTTCCATTAGCATTTCTGAAGACTTCTGGGACCATTACTGCCATGTGTTAGCAACATTCTTGAGCTTTATTAACTTATTCAAAACATTTAATGATCACCTATTGGTTGCCATGCAATGACTAAAACAAAGCCCTTGTCCTCTTTCTAGGGTTTATTATTGGGAAGGAAAAAGTTAACAGTAGGTCTGTAACCCATCCCTCCCTACTAGGGATACCTTCCCCCTTATGAATGTCCTTGACCAAAACCATTAGTAGATAATAGTTAGGTAAATGTTTGTGGTAAAGGAACTTGGAACACTCTCTTTAGGGTCAGTAGCAATAGAGATGAAATGAAATGTTCATAATAACAGTAGAGCAATTACAAGTTCTACAAGTCCAAGGGCTTTGATAGCATGAAAATAATTTATGAATTCCCCAAGTTTGAAACTGAGAGAGAGTGGTTATAAGTGTTCCTAAATATACTGAGCTTCAGCAGTGTATCTGGCGGAGTAACAATAATGAGGGGGTCAAGGGTGTAATTTCTTCAGAAAGATCTCCGAGCTCTTTTGCGAGTGTTATCTTATTCAGCAATCCAGCCATCATTTGTGGAGAAAGGCTACGAGTGTCTGGGATCATTCTCCCTGTGTGACAGTTAGGTGAAGGAACAAATGCCTTTGCTGAGTGACTCACCTGAACAGTGAGGGAGTTTTTGTCAGAGCACATACCTGAGAGCAAGGCAAATCATAAGATTGGTAACAGTGAGGGCCCAACAAACATATAACTTACCATTTTAAACATGTAACTTAGCTGGAAACTTAACAAAGATATCAGGATTAGAAAATGGGTATTCAGAGAGTGCTCCAGTGTTGGGTGATGGTCATTATTTGCTTTATTTCTGTAGCCTTAATTACGTCGTGTCTTAAGCCTCTCCAGGGTCTTCACTGGGGACTCACTGTGAGGGGGTCAGCCCTCAGGCTCACTAGCTTGCCTTTGTTGGTGACAACCCCGCTGGCACTTCCTGTGGCAGTCTAGGACCAGCCTATTCCCATGCTTTCTGGTCTTGAAGTATTCTGCACCATCCAACCTACATTCATTGTCTTGAACTCATTTGAGAATTTGACAAAAGCTAAGGACTCTCTCCTCAGGAAAAGGTAGACACACATAAGTTTTGCATACAGTTTAGGGGGGTCATGACCTCGTGAAACCCATCCCTGGACCTCAGGGTAGGAAACCAGGAGCTAGACGATAATCTACACAGAACACACATGCCTCCCTTTCTTTCCTTTGACATAAAAATAAATCGAGACATCCATTGATATTGATGTTTTTAAGCAAAGGAGGAGAATATATGGGATTCTGAAATGCTCACTTTTTTTACTGGACATTGTGGAATATTTAAGAATTTGCATGGATTATAGTAAGATAGCATCACTAATCATGGAGAGTAATATTTTCTTGAAAACTTCAAGGCACAAAGTCTTCTTTTATTCTCATCAAGCCAATGCCAGCTGCATTACTTCAATCATTACAGGCAGAACAACTCCCTTTGGAATGCCCTTCTGAATTCCCAAAGGTATTAAATACCCTTTTTTGGTTGTATGCAATACCTTACCTGTGAAAACTAGGTCAGATTCTATAGGCGAGTTTCTGCTTGCAATTAAGTGAAATAATTTCAGAAGCATAGTGTTAAAAAAAAAAAAATTCAGCTGAGTAAATTTTAAAGATCTTATTGGCTTTATTCAATGATTCATGAATTGAGCAGCATCCCATCTAGCAGAAAAAAAGGAGCTCTGATGAGCTGTACAAAATGAAAGACTTATAGGCAGAAGGGGGTGGGACCAGGAAGTTATTCTAGCAAAGAGCTGATTGTTTCAGGCAAGGTCACCTTCCTCTGGGGGATGGCAGGGGTCTATCAGGTGGATCACCTCACTAGTGCTGACCAGGCAATTCCAGATTGACTGGTTAAGATCACATTCCTGGGAAAAGGCTGAAACTGCAATTAGGTTAGGTATGAAATCTCAGTTTGCTGATGTGGGCTTAGAACGGGTGACTCCATTTTGGGCCTGTGTCTCGTTTTTAATAATTCCTCCCTTTTGATCAGACTCTCAGCTTAGCTGAGAGATGTGATCAAAATTTAAGGCATTAGTGCCGCTCCCAGCTACTGCTCTGAAGTTCTTGCAGTTTTTGCTGAACCCTGTGTGGTATTCATAGGTAATGATTTCAGGCTCACTTTTTTTTTTTTTGGTGAGGAGGATTGACCCTGAGCTAACATCCATTGCCAATCCCCTTCTTTTTGCTGAGGAAGATTGGCCCTGAGCTAACATCCGTGCCCATCTTCCTCCATTTTGTATATGGGAAGCCACCACATCATAGCTTGATGAGCAGTGCGTAGGTCTGTGCCCGGGATCCAAACCCGCAAACCTTGGGCCGCCGAAGCAGAGCGTGTGAACTTAACTGCTACACCACTGAGCAGGCCCCAGGTTCACATTTTTTAAGTCAGCCATTTTCTTCGTTCTTTTCTGATGTTCTAGTCTTAGGGAGATCATTTTCTTGGTGGTTAGCTGCTGCAAACATGCATATAAAACTTCTGATAGAATACAGCACACCAGGGAGAATACTATGATTATTATAAGCAGGATAATCCCCAATGTCTGGAGTGCACTTAGGATCCATGGTCCCCAAGATCCAAACCAATCAAAATCAAATAAGTCAAGGAAAGACCCCATTGAAGGAGTCACTTTCTTACATCAGTGGCCTGCTCAGTAATCATGTCTAGCTGAGTCTCAACTTCCCCAGAAGTGTCAATTCAGGTGCAGCAGGCGGTGTTGGCCACAGCACAGACGCCTCCTTGTTCAGCTGAAAGATGATCAAGGGCTATCCCATTACCAAGAACAACTTCCGCCAGAGGGTCTAAGAATGTTTGTTGCGCAGCTGTTGCTTTAGCAGCAGATTCTGCAATGCTTTCAAGAGTTAGGGAGAGATTCCTGATCGTAGCCTCATTTGGGCTTACTCCTAACCAGGGAGTAGGAACCTGCCAAAGAAAAGGAATCCTGAATGCTGAATGCCCCCTGGTAGGTCTTTTCTAACTTGAAGATGTCAATTCAGGGCAGTTGACCAATGAGGTATCTCAGTTTCTTTGTGAACAGTTAGGGGCACAGATAACTTAAGAGGCATTGCC